ATCATTAAGTCCACAAAAAAACCCTATAAGGTAAGTTCTATTATTATCTCCACTATAACAGATAAGAAAACTGAGGCATTGAGAGAAAAAACCAAGGTCCACAACTCATCAATGGCAGAGCCAGACTTTACTTCAGACTGGTTTGTTTCTAAGATTCAGAATGAATCAGCTTCCTGTAGAATAGCTTTTTCAAACTTTAGTACATCTAAAACTTTTTAAATTATGCACCGCCCTTTCAAAATGTCTTATATACAGAACAAAGTTACTAATTCAAAATAAAAACAATGTTTTAAAAACATTTCAAATGATAAATTGTTTCTTGGATGCCTGGTGGCTCAGTCAGTTGGGCGTTGGCTCAGGTCATAATCCCAGGGTCCTGGGATCAAGCCCTGAATTGGGCTCCATGCTCAGCAGAGAGCCTGCTTCTCCCTCTCCCTCTGCCTGCCTGTCTGCCTACTTGTGATCTCTCTCTCTCTCTGTCAAATAAATAAATAAAATCTTTTAAAAAAATGATAAATTGTTTCTTAATTTCCTATGTTTTAATTATGTTTTAACAAAAACAGCTTTCACTTTAAAATTGCTACCACTGAGAGATAATAACAAAAATCTACCAATATTTTAAAGTATAAAGAAACTTTAGGTATTCATAAAGAAGAAATTTAGCACTGTTAATCAATCAGTTCTTCTGGTGTCAAACTGTTTCAAGAGAGAACTATTAAGCAAGCAAACAAAAAAGCTCACACCTGCATCTACCTAATTCTTCTCCCCAGCAATCCACCTGCCTCCAGCTTCACAGGAGCAAGCTGCATTATCAACGCTATGATCTTCATTTTCTCTAGTCCCAGCTACCTTTCCCTCTCACTTCTACATTTAAGACTTTAGGCTCCTATCTTTTTCTGCTTGTACAACAAGAATAATCAAAATCTGATGAACTGAGGGTAGCTAGAGATGGAAGAACTTCTGAAGTGTGGTTTGGGCTGTGGCTATCCTACCGTTCTCTGGCTGATATTGCTAAAAAAGAGGAGAATCTTATAATCCGTCAGCCATAGTGTGATATCCTCAAAAGCAGAATTCCTCACCAAAAAGAGCACTGCTTTAAGATTTTAGGGAGGCCAGAAAATGGGTTGAACTCAAAATACTCTAAGATTTGAGGAGTTAGGATAAACCATACACTTAGGGGTGCTGAAAGCAAATACTCTAAAAGACAGGGGAAAGACCATGCACCCAATAAAGGAAAAAATCTACTCAAGAAAAATCTTACTGGAAGAATTCAAAGCCTAGCAAAAGAGAGGGTTCAGATTGTTCCCAGGAGACAGTTCAAACACAAAGTCAAAGGAATAGTATCTTCTTTTCTATGAATTAAGAAACAGGAAAGACCATCCCTGAGCTTTGGGGAGGACAGGTGAACTAGCAAGGACGATGGCACTAGATTAGTCTCCTGTTGCTACTACAACAAATTACCATAAATTTAGTGACTTAAAACAACATAAATTTATTATCTTACAGTTCTGGAGGTCAGAAATCTAAAACATATCAGCAGGGTTGTGTTTCTTCTGGAGGCTCTGGGGCAGAATCCATTTCCTTACCTTTTCCAGCTTCTAAAGACTGCCTACAGTCTCTTTAGTTCATTGGCCTCCTTCCATCTTCAAGGCCAACAATCCCCTTACTCTGACCTCTACTTCAGCCTACCTACACAGTACCTACTCTGACTCTGACCCTCCTGAGTCACTCTTATACAGATGCTTGTGATTACATTTGACTCTTCTAGGTGAGGATAGCCTCCCCATCCAAAAATCCTTAATCACATTAACAAAGGCCCCTGCACCATGTAAGCTAACAGGTTCACAGGTTTTGGGGATTCAGATATGGATATCTTCAAGGGGTCCATTATTCTGCCAACCACAGATACCAAAAGATGGGTTTCAAAGGGAGGCTGTCTTGAAAGCAAAGAAACAGTAAATGCCTTAAATAAGTTAACATTATACAAGAGCAACAGGTTACTGCTATCCTAAACTCACCTCCTCCATATAAAATAGTGTGCACCCTGGCATTCCTTTGGAACATAATGAAATAGTTTGCACACTATAAAACAGCCTAATGCCTGTGCTGTACTACACCAAATACTGTCAAGGAAGAGGAAGACAGAAAAACTGCAATAGGAAAGCTTATGAATTTTAAAAGCTTAAGGTATATTAGAGGTAATCCTCTTACTTCCCAGCTGTAGAAAACAACCCAGAGAAGCTCAGTTAAAAACCATAAAGGACCATAGCTGAGAAATTTCTATTTTAGTATGTCTCTGCATGGCACCCATTCTACTACATCCTTTAGGGGATGAAAGCTAACATGTATAGAGTAGCAGCAACAGTTCTAAGGACTTGTTATACATTAACTCAGTTAATATTCTCAAAAACCATATGAGGTAAGTGGTAGTATCATTCCCATTTTACAAATGAGAAACAGCATGGCACAGGGAAGTTAAGACATTTGTCCAGGGTCATATGGCTAGTAAGTGGCAGAACCGAGATCTGAACCCAAGCAGTCTCCAGGCAGTGTAGTATGGAACAAAGACTTCAGAAGGAGAGGGACCAGGCTTAAATTCACAGTTCACACCTAACTAGCAATACGAGTTTGGGCAAATTACTTACCTATTCTTGTAAGCCTCACTTTTTTTCTATAAAGTAGCCTAGTAACACCTATACTGAATATAAAGTCAAGTACAATCTATAAGTACCAATGTATAGCAGAAATCTCAATAACATACAGCTAATATTATTATTTCTATCTTTCCAGCATTATTTTGCAATGACTTTTTTCAAGGTTTAATCACAATACCAAATTCTTTCAGTGCTCTGCTCACAATTATAGTAAAAACCAATCTCTCTTCTTTATTCTTTAATATCCTCAAATGTACACCAATAGTGTCCAAGGCCAACCATGTCCAAAGTTTTTCAATAATGGGTTAGAAATCCATATATAATCAGCCTGCAATTGTTAAAATTAACAACAATGAAATAAAGCCTATTCTATTCACAAAATACAAGTTTTCTACCAATATCAAAACAGCAGCATCAGAATTGTTTACTCAAGGTTATTCATACAACAATTCAGACAGATTTTTCTAAGCCCAGAGCAAATAACTTATCAATGTTGAAAGCATTATCAACAACATCTGTATTTAATGGAATGAATGACATATCTTCAGAGACCCTTTCAACTTCTGAATATAGTAATTCATGCTCTCTTTGGTCATGTAAAAGGGTCTATTTTCACTAAGCAAAGGCATACCCAAACATCTCCTGGAGTTTGGTCACACTGAAAGAGTTTTGGGGGTACTTCTGGCATTCATATGCTTTTTTCTCAAAGTCCAGGGATCCCATGCCTTGGTGGGTGGACACAGTTCACTTTCAACTCAATTAGAGCCTTCTGAAACAAAGTCATATCCAAAAGACAGATACTTGAAAATGCAAATATACCCTGCGGGCATCCCAAAGAAGCCATATAAACTTAAAGTCTGATTCCTTCTCAAGAATAAAACCAAAACAAAATAAAAAACAAGAACATCTTCTGAAAGTATGACCCCATTTCTACCAAAGCTTTGAATTTCTTAAAAAACTTATGATTCTAGGACTGGAAATAATTTAGCATTTCAGATTAACACCTTTTGACTGCTAGCTACTCAATCAACCCTATGTGGTCTGAACACCTGGACTTCTTAGAACAAATAACAATGCTTCATTTTTTTTCCTCTTGTTCAATTTCAATGTAAACAGATGGTTCATCAAATAAGAAAGTGTAATTCTGTGAGCACCCAAGGTCCTAAAAGTTGGGTCTTTCTGTGCCTTCATTGATCTGAAAAAGGAGTTCCATAACCTACTAAATAAAACTAAAACTATATAATCTCTATAACCCAGCTTCTTCCAAAGAGTCAATCAACAAAGAAATATTAAGGGCTACAAGGTGAAAAAAATTCACAGTCTTTGCCATTTCCTCCATCACATCAGAAAATAAACCTGACTTGTAAAATTCAAAACTTAGCACAATCTCTCCTGAGCAGAGCAACTTTTAAGTTCTGCTTTAATGACTTCCAAACACTTTTCCTTCATAAATGCAGTCTCAACTGTGACCAATACGTGTGACTGTTTCACATTTCACCCAAACTCCCCAAATCCCTTTTGGTATATGGCTAGGATCTGTTAGAGCTATGTCCCCAAGGTGAAAATGTTTCATTAGAAATATCAGGTAGCCTTCACACAAAGGTCAGACAGACTCCATTTGGCCTGGAAGTTTCTCTGGGGAAGTTGATAGTACATGCATATAAGGTTCTAGTCTAACTAGTCTCCTTTGTCTTCTATTAGGACTAATCTAACCTGTGGCTTTTCTGCTAGCTCTGCTCTAGCCAAATGACAAGGATTCCAATAACCTGGAAAAAGAAAATGTAAAACCTCAAATCTCTTGATGTCAAAAAGAAGTTTAATGTTTTCTGTTGTTTTTGGTTTTTTGGGTTTTTTTTTATTTAAATTCAATTAGCGAACACATAGTACATCATTAGTTTCTGATGTAGTATTAGTTGAGTATAACACCCAGTGCTCATCATGTTTTAAAACAATTCACAGTGATCTTCATCTCAGAAGATAAAGGAAATGTTTTATCTCCATATCTCATTGATAATGTAAACTCCGATTAATAAAAATCAATTAGGAATAAGATGTTTTGTTTAACTAAAGCTTAAGCAGATCTGTTTCAAGTGTTTATTTTTTTAAATCCAAAATCAATTAGTTTATTTCCATACCTCATTAAGATTTCTCAGATATAATGTAATGATTCACTGAACATATAATTCTAGAAGATGTTATTTCATATACTCAATCTTTAAGATTAGGTAATTTTATTATCTTTCTTCTGAATCTTAGCAGAAAAAAATCTGGCTAACAAAGAATGTATTGAAGTTACTGATTATTAAACACCATTTCAAGACATAAATGCAAAATGAAACAACACACCTGATTGAATGACGAATCACTATCAGAGCAATTATCTGTGCAGTAACTGTTGCTTTTCTCCTTCTGGATTTTTTTCTGCCTCTCTTGACTTCGCATCTCATCTTCTTCAAACTTGTTAATCATAGATTCCACCACTACCATCATGATATTCTTCAGGGAATGCATCATTTCTTTGTATCTTTAAATTCAAAGCAGTCTTGGTAAGAGAAAGACTATTAGCACAAATCAAAACACTCAGCTAAATTAAACTATCTTATTTTTTTTTCTGTAAAGTCCCTTTAAGAGCACAGTTCTAAAAAGAAAAAAAATGTATCAGTTTTTCTTAAAGAACAAGTAGCACAATGGAATTCACACAACAGGAATAAAAATTAACAAGAATTCCAAAACATATGTTATTTCACAGGTTTCTTCATCTGATTACACGGACCAAGGTAGTAAAATTAATACAGTCTAAAGCAAGATGTTCCAATGGCATGGATACCTGTACTCCACAACAGTCAACTGCTAATATCATGCTACCAGAACAGTCTATCTTACATATCCCTTTTATTCCCTGTTTATTTCTATCTCCTTCTCTATCCTGCTCCCTTCCTCTATTTTCTTTCCTTCCCTTCTTCCCTGTCTATCGTTATAGGCACCTATAGCCACTATTAAGACCTAAATAAGAGTTAAGCTATCAGTAAGTCCTCTGAAACAGAGGGTAAAGAGCCCACTGTCAGAGATGTTAAGAAAGGGATTCCTGCTTCTCTCCCTCCCACTCCCCCTGCTTGTGTTCCCTCTCTCGCTGTGTCTCTCTCTGTTAAATAAAAAAATAAATAAAAATTAAAAAATCTTCAAGAAAAAAAAAAGAAAGGGATTCCTGAAATTGGTAAGAGTTTGAACCAGATAGCTTCTAAATCCCTTTTAGCTCCCGTCTTAGAAAGAGGGGTGGCTGGGTGGCTCCATTGGTTAAGCATCCAACTCTTGATTTCAGCTCAGGTCATGATCTCAGGGTCATGAGATCAAGCTCCACAAGCCTGCTTAAGATTCTCTCTCTCTCTGTCCCTCCTGCAATTCACGCATGTGTGTTCTCTCTCTCTCTAAAATAAATAAAATCTAAAAAAATAAATAAAAGTCTCAAAAAGAACTTATAAAGTTCTCCACTTATTATGTGCAAACTCTCAAGCATCCATATTAATATTAGATTGAGATGCCAGGGTGCCTGGGTGGCTCAGTCAGTTAAATGTCTGCCTTCAGCTCAGGTCATGATCCCAGAGTCCTGGGATTGAGTTGCGGCACGCATCGGGCTCCCTGCTCCATGCAGAGCCTGCTTCTCCCTCTTCCTCTCTCTCTCTCTCATGAATAAATAAATAAAATCTTTAAAAAAAATAGATTGAGAGCCCAAAAAGCCTAGAAACTGAATTTTAGAGCTAGATGAAACTACTAAAAAAATTCAATCTAGCCTTTTATTTTTCCTAAAGAACCTGTAATATGTGACCTGGACCACTGAAATTTCTATATTTAAAACAAAAAGGCATAATGATTTAAATAAACATAGTGAATAAAATATTATTTTGGAATCAGAAATCCTGGATTATAATCCTGACTACTTTACCTACCAGCTTTGTCATCATAAATCAGTTTCATTTTCCTCAATTATAAAATGAGATAAAAAGAATACAATTTAACTGACCTATTTCATATGGCTGTAGCAAGACATAAGAGTATGTATCTGAAAGTTCTTTGTAAATATAAAGCATGAAACATATTTATTATCATTTTGTAATAAAAATATATTAGGAAAATAAGCACAGAAACTTCCCTTTCTTTATATTTCTGTTAAATGGGTCATTGTAACTCCATAAATCTGAGGAAGGATAGGTAAGTTACTCTTATATAAACAATAAAACCATGCTGGGGTTTTGGATAGAAATAGAAAGCTGAGATTTTAAAGTTTAAAGGAATTTTAAAATACATCTTAAATTATATGATACACATTATATATTACTAAATATATGTAATTCTATATATAACTTAAAATATATTCTCATATATTTAATATGACTCAGCAACATATAATTTATATAATATAACTAGAAACTAATTCAATCCATAGTTAATTTATGTATGTATTTTTAAAGCACCAGAAATTGTGAGAAAACACAAAAATATTGAAAGAAGATGAGAATAGTTAGGAATAATGTACGAGGAAAACACATACGGAAGAGAACTGCTATAGAGGTGAGGAAAAAGTCCAGGGAAGATCCAAGTTTAAGGTAAGGGGCTATAAAGAACAAGAAGGAATCCTAGGACACTCATCAGACTAAATGGCAAAGTACGTATAGGATAACTGAAAAAGTCTCCTGCTTTCTCCTCTACACATTCTCAGCAGCAAGAAACAGGGAAGCATAACAATGCCTTGGTAGCAGTCAAGAGCTATCCATCAAATGCTACTCTCTCCTTCCACAGTATTTGTATTATAGCTAGACACAAGTCTAAACTACAGTCCCCAGACTCCTTTGCAGTTAGGCATAGCCATGTAAACAACACAAAGTCCTTTCCCCTTATAATTTGCAATATAGTAATTCAATAAATGAATATAAAGGTAAGAATCTCAATGATATATATAGGTTAGGATCAAGGGTCATTAAAATCCACAGAAAACATAAACGTTTCATCTTAGACATGTTTCCTCCAGACCTTTTTGAAAACACCAACATGAATTCTTCTGCAAGAAGTATCAGCAAACTGACCACAGAAAGAGATAAGAATAAAAAATTTTATTTTTATCTTTTTTAAAGATTTTATTTTTAAGTAATCTCTCCATCCAACGAGGGGCTCGAACTCAGAATCCCAAGATCAAGAGTCACATGCTCCACTGACTGAGCCAGCCAGACATCCCAAGAATAATTTTTAAAATTTAAAAAAACAAAAAAGCTAGAGAGCCAGACCCTCAATATCAAGAGTCAAATGAACTAGTCTTCAATAGTAGCTGCAGCAGTTTTGAAAAAGCCAAAGTAAAACAAATATAAAATGGACTATAAACACCATTAAGACTCATTCAATACTCCAAGAAGTCAAAGTAAGAAAAAGTTCTAAGAGGCAGTGAATAAAAACCACATCAATTAATAATGAAAATCTACATGGTCAGTAGTTGCACTTATATATATAAGGAATAGATGACAGACCCTACAAATGAATTCTTCTATCTGTAAACCTCTATTTAAAAAATATCAAGGGGCACCTGGGTGGCTCAGATGGTTAGGCGTCTGCCTTCGGCTCACGTCATGATCCCAGGGTCCTGGGATCGAGTCCCACATCGGGCTCCCTGCTAGGCGGGGAGCCTGCTTCTCCCTCTGCCTCTGCCTCTCTCTCTCTCTCTCTCTCTCTCTCTGACTCTCATGAATAAATAAATAAAACATTAAAAATAAATAAATAAAAAAATTAAAAAAATTAAAAATATCAAAATGTTTAATTAAGAAAATAATTTCTAATTATTACAGTAAAAATGCTGTTAATAGAGATACTATTGCCTAATCATTAGTCCTAAATAATTTCTCAGTTTCACACACACACACAAGAAAAAAATAATACTCTGCACAACTTAAAATCTATCATCTACGACTCATAAAGCAGAATACAAACACTCATTAAGACATTGAACATTTTTGTGAGGTAATTACCATTGTTTTAGTTTTTACACATGGATGAACTAAAACATAAGAAAATTAAATGGCTTATGCAGATATAAAAAAAATTTCCTAATATTCCCATATAAAACTCTGCTCTTAGCATGAAAATGCTTTCATTTTCTGACTAACAAAATATTTTAATACTCCTTTTAGAATAAATTTAATAGTACTACCAGAAATAGATTACCAGAAATTATATAATCCAAAGATGAACATGACTCTAGTATGTGTTTTTTCTTCAAATCAAGAAATAAGAAATCTTGGGGCACCTAGGTGGCTGAGTCTGTTAAGCGTCTGCCCTTGGCTCAGGTCATGATCCCAGGATCCTAGGATCAAGTCCCACACTAGGCTCCCCCTGGGTGGGGAACCTGCTTCTCCCTATGCATGCTGCTCCCCCTGCTTGTGTGCTTGCTCTCTCTCTCTCTGACAAATAAATAAATAAAATCTTTAAAAATAAATAAATAAAATAGAAAACACATGGAGGCTGGGGGGGAATGGTAAGCTCCTCCGGAGAGCATAGGAGCTCCACACCCCACATCTTGACCCACAACGCCTCCACCTAGCTGCTGGTGACCTGTGTCTTTTTCTAGCAGGCTGGTGATTGAGGAGGAGCAAGATGGCGGAGGAATAGGAGACCTAAATTTCGTCTGGTCCCAGGAATTCAGCTAGATAGTTATCAAACCATTCAGAAGACCTACGAACTCAATAGGAGATGGAAGAAAAGAATAACAGCAACTCTCTGAACAGAAAAGCGACCACTTTCTGGAAGGTAGGACGTGCAGAGAAGTGAATCCGAAGCGATATTTAGGAAGACAGACGGCGGGGGAGGGGACCTCCATCAGCCGCTACTGGAAAGTGATAGAGCAGCGGAGCCCAGTATCAGAACTTTTAGAAGTCTGCTCTGCTGAGGGATGCCGCTCCAGTGGCTAAGTGGAGGGTGGAACCCTCGCTGGGACAGTATGGTCTCAGGACTCTCGGGGTCACAGAAAGACCCGGGGTGCCTCAGTGCGGCACAACTCCCAGGTATCAGAGCGGGGAAGCAGGCTGCAGAGATGGAGCTGAGGAGTGGGCTCTCAGCTCGGGGTTGCCATAAATCGCGATCCGTGGCACAGTCGGGCCACTGCTCTTCCAGCAGGGACCGAACAAGCGGCAGATCCAGGGAGACTCCCCTTCCTCCCCCAGAAGGAGCGGCATGGGAGCGCACCGCAGGGATCTGCTGGGTTTGGAGACTCCACATGGGGTCGTGTACCAGAGATAGGGACGCTCAGTCACAGGCCGAGTGACCATGGAGTGCGGCGGAGCCCGGGGAGACAAGAGTGATTGACTGCTTTTCTCTGGGGGCGCACTGAGGAGTGGGGTCCCGAGTTCTCAGCTCCTCCAGGCGGAGATTGGGAGGCCACCATTTTCACTCTCGTCCTCCAAAGCTATACAGAAAGCTTTGAGGGAATAAAAGCTACCAAGAGCAAACCCGAGCAGATTACCTAGCCTGGCCCCTGGCAAGGGCGGT